GCCCCACAAACACCACGTTGGTTAGCATTCATTTTAGCTAGGTGCTCCAGTGCAAGGATCGGGTCACCATCAAACATCAACCATTGCAACCAAATCATACTTTCAGAAAAGATATCTTCAGCAGCTTCTTTTGCACTCCCTACACGAGTTTCTGAGACAGCCTCTGTTTCCTCCTCATCACTAGGCAAGATAACAGAGACGAACTCCGCTATTTGACACTTATCATTCTTGACATAAGCAACCAAACCCCGAGGTCCTTCACTTAAATTCTCTTCTGGAACTCCCAGCCTTGCTAGCCTCTGGTAGACACAAAGAATTAACAGAAGAAACATTTATGTAAAACCGACATTGATGAAAAATTCCCAAATAATCGGTTCATATTCAGTAGAAACAAAAACCCAAAAATTTAGAGAAAAGATCACGAATCAATTTTTCTTAAACTCGAAAATTGCGAAACCAAAACTACAGCACTGTCAATCGCAAAATTACGTGGAGAAAAAGAAGAAGATCTATTTCACTTTTTCTTCAACAAAAAAATTGTACCTGAAGAATAAGCTCGTGGTGAGACAGAGTGTTAGACTCTGGCGACGAGTCGATCTTCATCCGGAACATCATCCGAATCCAATCGGCGCAATTACACTTATTATCTCGACAGCTTTCAGTCCCCAGGGCTGAAACTCACTTTCGCTCTATATAAACACAAAAATCAATGTGAATTACATATAAATACAACAAATAAATAGTATAATAGGAAATTTAAGAAGAATTGAAACCCTAGAAAATTTGATGATACCTTCGAATATAGAATGAGGCCACCTGTGTGGATTTTCGCTTCCTACAAGACACGTAAAGTCTGATGTCTGAAGACGGTTTATCAAATGTTCTCTGGAATCATCATCTCAAATACTTTGAATCGGATAAGGTCTAATTGCGTGTCAATTACCCTTCCACTGTAGTTACCAAATTCAATATTTACTATAATTAACTCAAAGCACGATGTGTATTTTAATAATTTTTATGTACGATACGGCCAAAATATTAGGCACTTGTTTGGTACCCATTTTTCCCAAAATACATTTTTCTCTTTCTTATTTTCAATCATACACTCTTCAATAAAATAATATTATACGCAAAACTAAAACTTTTCCTTATTTTCAACCACACATTTTTCAACAATCACTATTACAAAATGCATTTTTACTATGAAAATGAGAAACAAACATGCTCTAGACCAAACTTGAATCGGCTCTCCATTGATGCTCCGCACATTAAACGTGGGCTACTATGTAGGGCTTTCATTTTGGTCCTATTCATTTAGCGCCCGTTTGACCTCCATTTTATAGTTATAAAAATAAATGAAATATTGTTCTTCCTAGATTTTCCTACGCTTTTTGAGACAATTTGTACCATTATATTGTTGTCCCTTGCCGCTACTATAGCATGTTAGAGAATTTCAAATGTTTTGACTTTCTTCACCTTTAACATGATTGTAGATTTTAACGTCTCTTACTAAAGAGTATCTCCAAAGCCGTAGCTTATTTCATTCAATCAACTTTCTATTCTTGCTGTTCAATCTAGTCAATAATGATCGGAATAATTAAAACCATTTGAGTGTGTATTTTGAACACTATTTAGTAACTTTTTTCATTTTCTGCAGTTCCTCTTGCATTGACAATTTGCATAATACACATCAATTTTAGGGTCGAACTAGTAACTTTCACTTTGAAATTGTCCTTGCGTTAGAAATTATTCAGTTATTAATAGGATCGGTCAAAGAAAAAAAATTCAAAAGGGGAGGACGGAAGCTGCCTAAGCTATGCAAGGGACAGTACCTGAACAATGAACTTGTGCTGCCTGCCAGCAAAGATTGACTGCCAAGGTAGGTGTGTGCACTGCATGGCATTGCAGGTGTTCAAATGGCGCATTTTTTGAATTTCTTGAATCAAAAATATGCCATTTCATCTATGGTCGTATCCTTTCATAATTTTTGTTGAATCAGTATAGAAATGAGATGAAATTGATACGAAATACTAAATTAATATCTCCAAATTTGTGTATCTAAAGCATATTAATTGCATAACCTAAAAATGATATGAAATTGATACGAAATACTAAATTAATATCTCCAAATTTGTGTATCTAAAGCATATTAATTGCATAACCTAAAATTCAAATTTACAAAAGTCTCTTTTTGTTCATTGTACTGAATTTTATTTGTTCTTTTGCAATCCAGGTTAAGGCTTGAACAATCCTCTAAAGCTATTTGTTTGGAGTCACTAAATCTTGTTGCCACAGATTTATAATCTAGTTGGCCATTTTTTTCATCATTTCAATATTTGCGAAGATTTTTCAATAGTTTAACAGTGTTATATATCGAAAAATGGAGAGAACGAATCCATGGTAGCAACTATCAAGATGATGAATCAAGACTAGACGAGACTTGATTGATTTGATGGCACTTTGCTCAATGGGAAGAAAAAATAAAGTTCCTTTTAAGGAATTGAACATCTTTTACAACCTGGATATGAGGTTGGAACCAATTTCAATTTTCACATTAAAAGATAAAGATGAAATTGAGGCATTGAAAGGACAAGAAAAATGATATAATAACTAATATTTTAACGACCAATTCTGATCGTTAAAAAATTATTTTCAATGACGAAATTATACGTTTCGTCATAGAAATTGGATGACAAAGAATCGAATTTTAAATTAGTTGGAAATATCCTATAACAACCCAAAAAATAATTTTTAAATCTATATTTTCAACGACCAAATTGGTCGTTTTGATCAGGCACCAAATAAAATATTCCCATCAAAATATTTGTTCATATTCAATGACAACAAAATCGGTTGTTAAAAGCACCGATAATATAGTAAATATTCGATGACCATAATGTTTGTTCGTTAATATAGTAAAATAATAACTAATTTTATCTCTTTGTTAAAACAAAAGAAAACTAATATATTTAGTTGTCGTTATAGGTGACATACAACGACCGATTATGTTTTAGTGTTTGGAGGTTTATGACAACCTGGTTACAGCTTTAGCTTGACGCCAAATTAGTTTTTGGCATTCAACGACTAATAAGACATAGTCGTTGAAGGTGACGTTCAACCACCAATTAAGTGTTGTCATTGAAGGTTTGTGAAAAAAGGAAATTATATGTGATTTTATTCCTTTTTAATTTATTTCTTTCAATACTTATCATATTTCCTTAATTCAAATATATCTTTTGCCAACCAAAATATTTGACATACTTGTAGGCTAATAATTAAGGAAATTTTTTTCAATTACTATTTCAATGTTTCTAATTTTAATTCTCACAAAATATATGTTTAAATTTAAAAGATAAGTAAAAATAAAAAGAGAAAATACATCACGTAAATTAAGTATTCCACTTTCTCTTTGCCTCCAAAGTTTTTTTTGCTGAAAATTGTCATTCCCTCTCTTAATTTACCGTCTTCCACTCTTTGTAGCCTCAAAAAAATTTTCCCCAAAATTATTCATCCCTTAGTTACATCTGCTTAATTGGTATTCTCTCTTTGGCGTCAGAATCGTTCACCTTCTTGAATTCAAAAGCCAATTATAGGTCAGCTAAATTATTATTTGGATAAAACTTTGTAAGTATTATACTAACAAACACTCACATTCAATGATACAAGGAGCATGCTTCTTGGACAACCCCTTGGACGTCCAGGAGGTTGTCCTGGGGGGTTTGCCCATGATACAATGTGGACTACAATCTACAAATGTGTTCTACGTCACTTGTAGGAAAACATTTATTTGATCAATCTCATTGTTTTTTTTTTTTTTTTTTTTTTTTTTTTTTTTTTTTTTTTTTTTTTTTTTTGTTTTTTTTTTTTTCAGTTTTACTCTGATTATGTGAATTTCGTGAGTTGATGATATGGCTCTGGCTTACTGTTTGATAAAATTCTTGAAACTGCTCTAATTAATTCTTTAGAGCATTGTATTGCGTTCATCTCTCCCTTCAGCTTTTAATGTACTAATCTTCCATTAGTTAATTCTGTTTATGCCAACCTTAGCCTGATCACCAAGGGCTGAAAGTTGGGAGAACAAAGGCTGATCGGTGCTTGAGATTTGCAAATTTTTGACATTTTTTTGCTTTTACAAATTAAGAAGAAACTAGAAAGGATTTATTTTTTGTATTTAACTATTTGCCTACTATCAGATGTTCAAAGATCGGATTTTTGTATTGCAGAAAAGCATATAATGCAAGGTCTAGCATCAAAGAATTATAGGAGGATAGTCTTATGTTGCAGCTCTAAGTGGAGATGCTTCTAGTCTTTTTATAATTTTGAAAGAGTCTTATACTACTGGCTCACTCTGTGAAGAATATTTGACAATGTGCATAAGCCTACAATTCCTGTTGAATTATTGAAGTGGGGTTGCTTGGTTTGTACAGGACATTAAGCTTTGCAACTGGGTTCAAGCCATTGCAACCAAGGCCCTTGGAATCGATTATTGATATAAAGAGGGCATAGAATAAATCAACTGAAGGACTCGTGGACATTTGGGACGATGTAATTCTTTATACCCTATTGAAGTTTTTTTCCCCACTAGACTACTGGCACTTTGACAATTTTTTTCTGTGTTTCTCTATTGTTTCTAACAACCTAATATAAATATAATTATATTACATAATAAACTGATATTTTAAACCAATTAAAGGTTTAGGCTCATTAGCAGACGTGTTCATATAGATTAACGAATTTGCTAGAATATATTTAATTATCGACCGTGTTTACAAGGACTTTTAAGTGTACTTTGTTACCTCTTCTAGCTAAAAGTTCAATTGCAAGAGGATGAACCATTAATATCTTTATTGGGTGAACAATAAATGTCTTGATTGCGTTGACTGAATTCGAAGAGATTAAACCCCGTTTGAGCCTCATTATTTTTCATTACATTAAATTAAAGTTTTCTCTTTCCTACTTTTAACCACACAATTTTCAATAAAATAATATTACACGTAAATCAAAAATTTTTCAACCACTCATTTTTCAAAAAAATAATATTCATCTTATTATAATCTACAAATAATGGGGCTCAAATGGGGGCTAAAGTGGGATTTTGATATTACTTCCTAAATTTTTAGGAAGGATTTTATAGATTTGTATTCTAAGCATCCATTGTAGTGGTGAATGACAAATTATGCTTGTTGTTTTAATGCAAATGTTTGATATATGTATTCACTTTTTAGCAAAATCTTCAAGGATCAAAATTTTATGTTGCAAATGCACATGAAATGGTAAGTCATAAAGATATTAAATATTATATTTAATAAATTTTATACATCAATTCTATTTTTTAAAACAGAGGGATCTATTTACAAAAGAACTACTAGGACCTCCTTTGGCCTTCATTTTTTGAAATGAAAATGTATGGAACAATTTTTTTTTGAAAAATGAATGATTGAAAAAGAAGAAAATATTTTAAATTTACGTGTAATATTATTTTGTGGAAGATTATGTGGTTGAAAATAATAGAGAGAAATATTAAATAGAATTTAATGGGGGCCAAATGGGGGATGTCACATCAAATTTTTCTATGAGATAAATTGTAGCAATGAATGTGGGTGGACAACTAAAGAAGCAGAATCCCATTATGTAAGTAGTTTTACTTGTTATAATTATATAATAAATATTTAAAAATCTTATATTTTATTTATAATTTACATGGATCCACAGAATTAAATGGTCGACCTTTTACAAGAACAAAATTATCAACTAGATTCGAATGAACAACCTATGCCTTTAAAAGAATCTAAAATATGTGCACAAGTTTTAGGCAAGAGATTTAACTACGTTGATCAACTGAAAAAATTCAAAGAAGACAAGGTTGGAAAATTGTGGTACTTGTGTAGAAAATGCTGCTTTATAGGATGAGATTGAAGATCTTCATTCTCAATTGAAATATGTGCAAAC